TACGTATCTTTTCCGCTCCTTTAGATATAGATACAGGAATTCGAGAATAATTTCTCTTACTATAAGAGAAGTTTCTTCTTTTACTTTTAAAAATTATTGTCATTAAAGGATTTCTCTCATATAGGGGTTAATAGCTCTGTAAACACGGACTATTATATACGGAGTAGATTTCTCTACGTATATTTATTCATGTAGAATAGATGAGAAAGAAATAAAAAGTGAAGGGATTCCTCTTCTTTTCACTCCCATGTGCCACGGTGTGTTATTCCTTGTGGTGATTATTTTTGTGAGGATGTCATCAAATAAGAAATCTAATAGAATAGGACTGAATCTTACATCTGCTTTAAATTATACACACATAAAGAATAAGCGTAGTACATATTAATAATTTTCTTAATGTGTGAAGAATATCAGATTCTAGCATGCATAGGTGTCGAATGTTACTGTTGAAGTGGGGCATCTCTTCGACGAGCAGGCATTAAATTTAACTAAGCACCCCAAGGACCAGAATGAATCTATATGTAATCAAATCGCACAAAAAAGGGCAGGAGACTCGGATGAGGAAATTAAGGACAGGCCACAACATATGCCAGAGAGAAATGATAATACAATAGAGCGAGAATCAACAGACTATTTTCCTGAAATTGAAAACAACCTGTATCATAACCCTCTACCAAATTACAATACTAAACAGATGGAATTAGCACACCGTTATTTCCACAATTATAGACAACTTATATGAAAAGTCAGAGAAAAGTATAAACAAACTAGAGGAATTTTCCCAAAATTCGTACAACCCACCTCAGTTAAGTGAAGAATGTTACGTCGTCCTTCAGAACTTTAAAGGGGAAGATATGAATGAAATAATCAAATCGGTCAATGATAATTTATTTAGGAAGATGATGCTTGACAGATGGATAAAACTGCACGAAAATGCCAAAAAACCTGTGCACACTTTGAAGGACCATTTATCCTATTATTTGGGAAAATTAAAAAGTCCGTATAGCGTGGATGGAAACACTGAGAGGGAACAAGTGCGGAACAGCAATCATAGTATTAACACAACCATGAGGATCATGGGGGAGTATCACAATAGACACTTTTTCCACTACATCGTAAGGGATAATTTTCCCGAGTCCAATCATGACTGTTTTATAAATGTGGTTAGAAAGGCCTTTATCTTATCTGTAAATGAGCTAGTTACTATGGAGGAGCCTCAGTTAAATAAATGTGTACTCGAGTCAGGGATACTCATGGTGAGAGCACAAAGATAACCGTTCAGAGAAACACGCTGAGCGGTAGGTACACATGTATATATGCATATATAACATGCCAACAATAGCAAGAATAAATATTCTTGTACCTATATGCTTATATATACAATTATCTGATAAAATCTTCTTTATTGAAAACAGGAGCCAGGTGGATTATACCACACAGTTTCAGCAATTA